CTATAAATCTAGAGAGTGCCACGTGGTGGTCATATACAATGAAAAATAACAGGACCATGTGCATTTTTTTAAAAAAATATTTTTATTGAAGTTTAAGTTGAAGAACTAAACTAGAAGAAAAAAGAAAAAGAAAAGTTCAAGAGGTGCAGAACAAAGAAAAACAAACGAAAAAGAAAAAAGTAGAAGAGAAAAGAAAAGAAAAAGAAAAAGGCAACAAAGACAGTAATAAAGAAGTGGCTTCCAACCTTCATCACACCAAGCATAAGCTAATATAGTAACTTTTCACTTTTTTTTAAAGTTACAAATAAAAAAACCTCTTCTTCCCATAGCCTAACTTTTATCTATACGTAATCCAGAAATCGACATCTTTTGGTTCAGCTTTTGCTGAATCCTGGTTCAGCAAAAAGTCCATTAGGAGTTACTAGAAATATCAAATAAATAGTTTATCCTTGGTCAAATAGTCCAACTTTATATTCCTTCTTTTTGCTCTGCACAATCTTGACCTTTAAGTCATTCCAATGGCATCACAGGATTTGATCTTTCATCAATCTTTGGCATTCAAGAGAAATCTTCAAAGCTTTCACCAGCCTACTGTGTAAATCCCATAAAGAGGCATCGTCCAGGATTTCTTGTCGCAGCTGTTTCATGTCCAGATCCTTTTCTTGATTTGTCTTTTGTATTCCCATTTTGGTAATCTCAATTTTGTTGTCTTCCATGCCTTCAAATTCTATAATGTCTACGTTACTATAGTTTTTAAAAAATGTTTAAATTTTTTTTCTCATCATCTAAAAGTTTATTAGTTATTAATATCTCAGTCCATTTTTCCAAGGACTCTTTAAGACAAGAAAAATGTATAACGGGCTTAGCCATTTTAACTCTTTTCTGCCTGGTCCTTTAGTTCTCTCCAGTGTCCACTTGCAACCTTCATCAAGCCTCAGTTCCTAATATGGGTTTAATTCCCTTTCAGTCATTTCCCACAAGTATATTATTTAATTATATAATTGTTTTTCAAATCTTACAGCAAAAATAACCAATATTCCAAATCTCTCTGGTCTCCCAATC